CGGTGGTGGTGGTGTCGGTGTCTGTGTCGCCGCCACCGCCACCGCCACCATCTTCCCGGTCATTCTCCGCCTTCGGCCGCGGGGCCTCCCGGCGTACCCCGGAGGAAGCGTAGGGTGACCTAAGCAAGACTTACACAGACAAAATATAGATGAGATTGTTTGGTTTTGTTTTGGGGTTTTTTTTCCATTTTAATGGGGGTTTGAATTTGTGCTCCAGATTTATGATTACTTTAGATTCAGTGAGGTGACAGAAAAAATAATTCAGCCTGTTTCACGTTATGCTGTGGGTTAGATCAGCGAACCCAAAACCAGGCTCATGGGAAGGTCGGGTTTAGCTGACAAGAGCTCCCTGCTCTGCACCTGTGGCCGTACAAACCCTTGTGTTGGCACCATAGCAGGAACTGAAGCCGGAGAGAGTGGAAACAAGTCTGGGAGACTGGGACTGCAGTTTCCACCACCAGTGTTCCTCACATCTGTCTTAACTTCACATTAACCAGAGAATTCATACTTGGTGCTGAAGCTGAAAACTTATTGAGAACATCTGGAGGATGCAGCAAGTGCAGCGTGTCATGCTGGGCACTGCATTTGCACAGACACTTATGAAGGTGACATGATAGCAGAAATAGCAGGGAACTGACAGCACGTGGAAGAGTGAGTGGTGCTTTATCATGACAGCAAATTTCTTTGCACTATCCCTCTGGGGCTTTAGCAAAGTCAGGCCATGGAAAATACTTATTCTTTATATGTTGCATATAAAGGAAACAAGATGGTAACTTTTTCTTCTGTTTTTCTCTTCTTCATGCTGCAAAAAAACAACAGTGGCCAAGAGCAAATCTAAGTAAGTGATGGTTTTCCTCACCAGTTTTTGATTACTGGTATGTTGTATCTTTGCAAAATGTTAAGCTTCTCTAGATTTTTTTAATATACCTGAGAGAATTGCAGTCCTTGAGTCTAGCTGCTTCCTCTCAGCCATTCTGTACGTGTGTCTTCTCACAGGTAAGTACAGAATGGTGTGAAACTCTCCCATGGGTTCTAAACTTTCAGCAAAAGCAGGTTTTGTCCTATGGGCTGTCTCACTGAGTTTAGCAGTAATCTCCAATGTGCCCTGCGCAGGGGGAAGCACACCTCTGTGCTCTGTGATTGAAGAGAGGCTGTAAATTACCCAGGTGTTTTTCCTGTTGTTCACCTGTCATACTTTTTCAGCTGAGGAGAGTAAATTAAGGTACAGCGTGGGTCTTTGTCTTCTGTGGTGTGGACATTAGGCAGGTGCCGTGAAGCTCTCCCATAGCCAGAGTGCAGAACACTTCCTAGGCTTAGCATATTCCTGAGTTTATATGTGAGGAATGGACAAGGTCCAGTCAGTGCTCTGGGCATCTTAGTTTGCTGTGTAATCCAGCTCAGCAGAGATGTTAGTGGGCTCTGGAAGAAAATTAATCACAGTCCTCTGACCTGTAAAGAAAGCTGATAATGTTTTAACGGTTGGAAAGGAAGGGATATGTACTTTGAGCACACCAGTAATCTTACAATGTGGGCACAAGGAAACAAGATCATGTGGAGAAACTGACTTGGATCCAAAATGCTGTTTGTAAGAAAATTAGCCAGAGAAATCCAAGAGGCTAAACTGGTACATTTATGTGAACACATTCCTGTCTTCCCATTCCCAGAAGTTGCATTCTGTGTAAGTGTATTATACTTGGTACCACACAGGCCTGGGATTTATGGCCTTTGGTACATTTTCTTTATTTTTGTATTTTTAAGAATCTGTCCCCAGCAGGAGCCAGTACCAACCACTTGCCACATTTGAGCAGATTCTTCTGTTACAGAATTTCTGCACAATTGTCAGGCTTTTAAATTGAGAAGCCACTTCCCAAGTATGTGCCTGACAGTTTGACATCTCATTGTTCTACTGTTATCTGTTTATAAAAACAAACATAGCAAACCAAGAGGTTTCTGCAAGATGAAAAAGTAGCTTTAAAATGGTGTTACTAATGTTACTGTAGGGATTTCTGTTACACACCCCCTTTTATTTTTTATCCCAATGTTTGTTTCTGTTTTTTTACAGTCCCATATGCACTCCAGGAATATGTTCTTATATTATTTATCATTCTCCACTCCCCTTGGATTTCTTCCTGTGCCCTGACAGCTTTCTAGTGTTGTTTTCTGCCTCTGCTCCTTCAGTTACAGTTCTTCACAGGGGACTAATTTTTTTAGCAAATTTGGAATGGGCTTGGCCTCAAATGTGTGGTGCACAAGAATTTCAAGGCCTGGTTACATTGATGACACTGATTCCGCCAGAAAGGGGAAACTGCAGAGAGGCTTTGAGGAAGTGAGATATAGGGAAAGGAATCTTTGTGGTTACTGAAGTTCCACAGGACACCTGCAGTAGTGTACAGGAGAGGACAACAACCAGGGCTAATCCCAATAATATACTTGGTCAATTGTCTGTCTTCAGGAATCCAGTGTCTTTCTCTTTATTTTGAATTCAATAGTAAATGAGATTGCAAAGCTGAAAAGGAAGAGCTTAAGGAAGTACACTGGTCAGAGCTGTACAAGTGAGGAAGAACAAGTTAATTTTGACAGACCATTTTGTGTTAGAAACAGGAAAATACAGGAAAATGGAAAGTGAACTGAATGCCCACATGCAGAGATGTATCCATGTCTTCATTGAAATGGAAGAGAAAGATGTAATTTACAGGCTGGTTAAAGGGCTTTTTTTTTTTCTTTTGATTCTAAAGAAGATGCCCTCTGGAAAGTTGCTTGGATTTTGGCGTTTCCCAGACTGGGGGTGTAGAGCAGCTTCCTTGGTCTCCTGCTTCATGGACATCGCAATTGCTGCCAACCTGCCCTGCAAACTGAGAGCCCTCCAGTAGGGAAGGGGGTTCTCATGGCTGGATTAGTATCAAGCTCTGTATCTCTAGCAGGGTGGATGCTGCCAGGGGGTTTTGCTTCTCCTTTTTCATGCCTCTTGTGCCAGCCTATCTGTTTAGCTTCCTCTCTGCATGAGGAAGTGATAGTCTGTGATACAGTGTTATCTACAGCCTGAACATCTTTAACGATTATCATCCTTCCTCTCTTGCCCTTAGCTTTTAAGCCATGCTGATTTTCCTAATTTCTTTTTTTCTCTCCTGTTTTATTCCTCCTGCCTCACTGTTTTTTGGAGGAACTACTCGCTAGGCTTGTATCCTGTTGAGGAATTATTTACTTAAACTTGATGCTGAAGCTTATGGTTTGGCATTTGTGTTAAAAGTTAAGCATACATAGTTTTGATACTCCCATCCCTGACATTGGAATGAAGTGTCTTATGTGATTGTGCCAAACTGAGTGTGCTGAAAGCTTTTCCATTGGCCCATACCCTGGCAGATGTGGTGGGCCATCACTGAGTGCCTGTGCACTGACACAGAGACATCCCTTGTGACTTTAGATACATTCTGGTGAGGATGAAGAGCGCTGCGGAGACAGGCTACTGCTTCAACATCAGGAGACTCCGACTGCAAGAAAAGCTGGTCTTACTGAGATATGATCCCATTGGTAAGAGCTCAGGGAAGAAGTCAGCATGCTTTGTGTGAACTTCTCTGCCTCTGTGGGGGAAAAGATGAATGCAACAAGATTTTTACCATCTAAGCAGAATATGTCATAACATTATTCATACTCAAATGATTGTACGGTTGCTGTTCTTCATGACATTCCAGTGGGAAGTAAATGTTACCCTCATTTTACAGATTGTGGCAGTGAAACAAAGTAATGACTTGCCTGACACATCAGAGACTTTGATGACAGCCATGCCACATGTCACTGGCGAAGTCAAGTGACACAGGAGTTCTTTCATTCTGTTTCTTTGTGTGGTTTGCCAGACTGTGCTACTTCCAACAGGCAGGCACAAAGTATGCATCAAAAGAAGTGTTCTGTTAAGCTGCCATGGGAGCTCTAGACCAGAAATTTTAACCACCTCTTACAAAATGGACTTTTTCTTTTAAAGAAATAGGCACAAATTCTTCCTGTTCCACAAATGATATCACTCTCCAGATGGCAATTAGTGGATTCTTTTCTTTTCCCCTGGTCCTTGCAGATTTTCTCAGTTTAAGAATCTGATTTGTTGGACAGGTTATAGCATCTGCCAAACTGCCTTTTGCTCACCAAGCTTTTTGAAAGGTGATTAAAGGTTCAACTTTCTCTAAGCATTAAAAAGCTGAATTTAATGTTAAAAAGTTTAATCTGGGTAAACTTGGAATTTAAGCCAAACGATATTAGAAATAACACAGTGTAGCTAATGCAAAAAAGGCTTATTTAAAGTTATAAAATACAAGAAATTTATTAAGCAGCTCTAAGTAGGTAATGCATGGTCAGTAGTTACATGATTTAAGCTTAATTTTTCTTAAAATATTATGTTCTTCTTAGAGGACTACCTTTTCATTCTCAGAGCTAACAGTACAGGAGCTTTGAGAGGTGAGAGAAACCACCAGGGAAGCAATATGCTGTTATCAAAGGTGACAGAGGTTGTGGCTTTTCTTTTGAATTCCACACAGAAGGGGAATCGTAGATCTCTGGGATTATATTCTTGAATAAGAAAAATAAATCATTGCATTGAAACATTGTGCAGAGTGATCCTCCAGAAGCTTTGCAACTTTTAGGGGAAGTGAAGAAAGAGAACTCAGATAGAACATGTAGTAGGTTGCTGAAGAAAGCTTTGATCTTTGTAGCCTGTAGTAGAACACAAGTGAGAAATTGATGTGAGAAAGTGTTGCATGTGTGAAGGGAAGTAAATCTGAGTCTAGATAAATCACATCAGGAATATGTTAGGAAGCATTTTCACTTGGCATGTGTTTTCACCTTATGTTTTGTACTTCTCAGAAAGCTAGGATGTCCACAGAATGAAGCTTTTTAATGAAGTAGTGGCAGGATTGCCCAAGTTTCACTACCTCCTAGCTGCAGCAACAGAATCTGTACTATCTGAAGTATCTTTTAAAACAAAACTTTTTTGTGGAAGAAGAGATTTTGTTGTGTGGATTGCTCTTGCCTAGCTTTCAAAGGAATTCGTATGAGACTAACCAAACAGTGTTGATTTTCAGATGGCATTGTAAAGCTTTGCTTAGATTTATTTTGTAATTTCTTGTTTTTATTAATGTATTGACTATGCTTAACCTGCCCCTGCAGGGTTTTTTTTGGAACCACCTGCATCAGGCATTGTGGTCACAACCAGTTTGTGCCTCATTGAGAGTTCCACAGGACAACTGGTTAACTTCTCGGTCAGTGTGTGAGGCCAACTGGATCCAACGCATCATCCATAGTTGCTTGGGCTCTGGAGTTGAAGAGTAGTAGAAAGCTGAAAGAACCTATTTTTGTCCCTACATTGAAAAACTGTGACTCAGAATAGTCACACAGAACAGCTGTTAAGTGTTTTCAGTCACTTGCATCCTGATACTTATTCTCACAGAGGTAAAGTGGACATCTTAGGAACTAAAAATTACATGTGGTAAAGTGAAAGCACCACTGAACTCCTTCAAGAGTTGGTTAACAACAGTGCTCTGCCACTCAGTTGCTCCACATTCATTTAAGCAGTGAAGGCAGCCGGGAGAAAGGAACGTGGGCTGGTTGAATTGAATTTTAACACTTCAGTCTTCTTAACGGATTCTTTTTTCTCTTTTTTTTTCACTGTAGCAAAACAGCGTGTCCTCTTCACAGAGAAGAGAAAAATCCGTTCTGTGTGAGCAATGTCTAAACTTGATTTATACATGAGAAGAGGATGGTCTGGTGGGATGATGGGGTGAATACTGATTCAGAAATCCAGAACACAGGCTGAAAAGAGAGGAAATGAACTGGGATCACCGTCTCCTGTGACTTGAAGGCCATTGTGAATAAAACAATGTAGAGAGAAAAAAATTCTTAATGTCTGGACATAGATCATCACAGTAACATTTATTTATCTTTTGAGTTATTTTTACAGTGCTCAATTAAAAAAAAATTAAATAACAAATCCCATTGTCTATGTTTTCTATTGTGAATGAGGCTGTAATCTTCAAAGGAACTATTGTTTTATAAAGCAATAAAAATTAACATTTTCCACAGCAGGAATTCAATAGCAGGATTGCAAGTTTTTCTAACCTACCAGCCACAGATGCGACAGTAGTGACCACCAGTTGGTGTCATTACTTGGGAGGGGTAATGTTGCACCAGCTGAGGAAAAGAAGGAATGGGGAACCTAGATGAGTTTTTGGATAAGCTATTACTATGGTTAAAGGCCTGTATTATTTTCAGGCAGGTTAGTAGGATGGTTTTTTCATTCTTGGGTTTTTGTCAAACATGAAGAAAACAGACAATGTAGTTCTCTCGTGTTCTTGTAAGATTTTTTCCCTTAATTAGCCTGCCTGTGTTTATAGCAATGTGGCTAGAAGCATTTTTTCAAAGTCTACCTCAGTAGCAGTCCTGTCCTATTTGGAGTTGGAGGGACCTTCCTGAGTGTAGGGAAGCACTAAGTGCAGAGCACACCTGTGGCACATGGGCACCTGCAGGCCCAGGCTCGATACAGGGGACTTTGTTGTGAGCCAAACACTAGCCCTGGTGTTTGAGCACTGCAGTTGCAGTCTCAAAGCTAATGCTGTGCTTCATGTGCTGCCACTTCACATCAGAAGTTCCGATACTATCAAGTAAAAATACTGTCTGGAGCCAAATATCCTCCAGGTGTTTTACTGTAAACTTAATGTAATTCAGTAGAGCACACTGTGGGACAGGCACAGAATTGTGTGGGGCCAGAGAGACCTGCTGTGCTGTGTTTGAAAGAGACCCACCACCCCCATCCCATCTGCTGTAGAACAGCAACACACAGGATTCCTGAAATAAGAAGCAAAGAGACTCCTGGCCTTTCTAAGTCAACAGAGGAGAACCTCAGTGCAGTCAGGAGAATAATGCTGTCTGGTATGAGATAAAATCAGTACAGCAAGCTAGATAATCAATTAGAAAAGGTCCTGAGGCAAGTCCTTCCTGTAAGGATATGAAGATTGTGTCCCCAGGGCCTGGATGCTCACTGATGCGACACAGTTAGACTTCCTGATCATTTCCTCCATGGATAACTTGGGATAGTAGGCCAGGTAGAAGGCCAGTGCTCCAACAAAACTGTCTCCAGCGCCCTGGAATAAAATAACAAACAAGCTTAAGTGTATTTGCACGGGGAAACAATTCAGATGCCTTTACCAGAATGACACAAATTGTAGCACTAATTGCAGTGGTCAGGAAATCGTTCAGGGTTGAGTTCAATACACTTTTCTATGCCTAGGAAATGTTTTGTGTCCAGCTGCTGAGTCAAGGTGCACACTATAATATGGCTTAAAGAAAAAGCAAAGCAAGCATGCCACAGTTCAGCAACATGCTGTTTTAAATAGTGCTTTTGAAACTTCCTGTTGTTGGAGTGCCTGATTTTGATTTCTCAACCTGGATGTTTCATTAAAGCTATTTTTCTCTTATTTAACTTCTGTTTTTTATAAAGGTCACTGGTAGAAGGGGCAGATAAAAGGGGAAAAAAACAGGCCATGTGGCTTGTGGTGTCTGTAAATCCCTAGTTGCAGAGGGATATGTTTTGACACTTCCAGAACTTAGCTGTAGTTTATTAAAAAGGTCCAATTGTCATTAAAACCTATCATGGCTATCACATAAATCACTCTCATTCCTGAGGCAAGCTTTGCCACCTGTGCTAAGTTTGACCATGGAGTATGAGGACAGTGACATTGCTCCCAAGCCATACTCTGCCTGCCCTATGGGAGGCATGGATACATCTGTCCCACAGGGGCATCAGCAATACCCCAGCTCGCTCTGACCCCTTTGCCCAGATACTGCTGGTTGTGCTCTGGTCAGCAGGGAGTAACAGCTGTTTGCCTCCCAGGTGCTTTTTAACAATAACTGCTGTTTAGCAATGTTCAATGCTATGAAGTATCCCCAGCAACTGGCAAAATTTAACTTGATTGATGGTTGTGTTTAACTTGATTTGCTTGTTTCAGTCCATTATGTTCTTTCCCCCTCCTCCCCTAAAAGTGGCTTGATTTCTAAGGCCAGACTGATACCAGTTCTTGTTGGTACCATAAAACTGGTCCTAAGGTCCCTTTTTTTAATCATAATTTATACCAGTTAAGGCATTAAACTAGACACACTAGTATTATCTTATTTGATTCCAGACCCGGCATATGGACTACCTCCCCTGAGGGATTTTGCCTCTGTTGTTGTAATAAATAGGCCCCAAGAGTTATGTGACAAGAGCAAAGAGCCTGGAAAAACTTTGTCAAAACAGTTCAGCAAAATTTCTAACGGAAGTTAAGACTAGGAAGTAATATTCCAATTTTGAATACTAGTGTTTCTCAGTCTTAAACTCTTACTTGCCCTGAAATCAGCTGCATGTAATATCATTCTGGCAAAACAATGCCACTTCCACAGAAATTTGTTTCTAATATTGAAAGCAGCTGAGAGGGAAGAGCAGCATGGGCACTGCAAGGGACGGTAACAGGGGTGAGTACAGGATAAGGGCCCTACCCCAGGCCTGGCCTCTCCTTGCCCAGCCCTGCCACAGTAGCTGTTTGTATTGGTGTTTCCAGTCAGAAAACTCCCTGTTTAACTCTTGTTTGGGCTGGAGTTTGAATGCTGTTTTCCATCTGGATACAATGGAGAGCATGGCCTGGCAAATGACAAGTTAATAAGCAAAGTGTTACGCCTGCATGCAGCTGTAGCAGCACCTGTTTCAACAGTTCTGTATTCCTGAACATACCAGGGGCAGGTGAAGGTTTTTATCAATTTCTGTTGTGCCTTTGTCTCCCTTCTGGTTTCCAGAGTGCTCCCACAATGGCAGGAGGAGCAGGAGCAGGTGACTGCTAGTTAAGCATTTCCAGTGTCTTTTGTCTGATGCATAATACCAAAGTCTCCATCCCATCTCAGAGTTCGTAATCTAATCACTGTATGATTAATTATTAAAGCTATTTTGGTGCTGTTGTTACAGACGGGAGTAGGATTTCAGCATGCAGATCTGTTCTGCTGTAGCTTTAGCAGGAAGAACATCTTTTACAGTGATAACTGGGAAATGGAAGTAGCCAAATATTTTAATGAGTAATACTCATAATATCTGGTGTAAAATGACATAAACTGTTACCTGGCAGCAGCATGGAGCAGAATACTGTCTTTCTGTTTTTCTATTTGATAATTGCTGCACTGTTGGTTATAGGAACAAAAAAAGACTAACCACCTGTCACCCAGGTCTTAGTCTGTGTGCCAGTGAGATGGAGTGTAAGTTCTCCCTGCAATGTTATTGTGGCTCTCTGCTCATGGATGATGCTCTGAGGTTGTGAGATGGCTGGGGATCCCCTTTTAGCATGGCTGAACAATGACAAATGGCTCTGAAAGCAGAAAAGGGAGAGAACAGCAGACTCCCATCCAGAATGGAAAAGGCCCCCTAGCAGTTTTTTGCAAGAGAAAAGATTACAGGGTGATTGGAGAATATACAGAAGGATTTGATGCCAGTCAACTTTTGCTGAAATCCTCACTTCCCATGCATAGACTGAAGCAGTTAGTATCTGCAAAGCCCAGCTATTACAGACCCAAAGGGTATCATAAATTCAGTTGATGGTAAGTGAATGTTTTGTGAGGGGGATGTTTTCAACAGAGGAGCTGCTGCATTGAGAACAGCGTCATGCATCACTGATTATGTAGATACCCTGCTCAGCCTTGCTTCTTGTCTGTGCAGACATGACTGGTCAAATGTGACTAAAAGAGCAATAGTAGAACTGGTTCAGCTGCAAGGTTAACTGCAGTAAGAACTATTTTTGGCTTACAGAAACAGACCTTTCTTCTTCAGTATTGTGGATTAAACTACATTGGGTTTGGTACATTCAGAAAAGGTTGGCACAGAACACTAGAAAGAACAGGCTCAGAGTAAAATCAAGATTACACAAACACTGGAATAGCAAATAGTAGATTTACATTTAGCTGCTTCAAAACCTGCTGTAAGAAAAATAATTCTAATCTACTTCACAAAAGAAATTAATTTGAAAATAACCGGTAAGTTGCATTGAGAGTGTCTGCTGACGAAATATAAATGACAGAGTATGTAATATTTTTCTTTCCTCAACATTCGTTTTCTGGGAATTCTAATACACTGCAGACTTTGAGATAATCCTCATATCCTTGAGTGCCTGGAGACAATTCATTCCATAATTATGAAAGTAAAACATATTTAACCTTTCTGTAAAGCAGGAGATGCTAGTTTGTTTGAAATAAAATAAAGAATTTGGTTTAAAAATTGTCTGATATGGTGTGGCTCATTCTTAAACACAAATGTCATGGTTTTGACTAATTTTTATGGTTTTGAAGACCTATTTATATTCTGTGCCACTAGTCTGTAAGGTCCTTGTTTTCCTGTGTGTCTGGAAAAGGGCATTTTTGTTTCTTACAATCCAGCACTGATTGAGATTCTGTGCCCTAGAGAAGAGAAAACCCATGAAAACACTTCTATTTATACCTTAGTTTTTGTTAGTCCTGATTTTTCAGAAGCTGCTTCACAACTTTAGTATAACTATTTTTATATGATGCTGCCCTGAGAAGCTTTTTAAGGAAAGTGCTTTGTAAGTGGAAACGATATTGTTCAACAGCCTTTCCAGCATGTAAAGCCTTTTTCAATCCATCATGCACAGACTGCTAGGATATTTCATTTATACAGTAAGATAATTTGCTCACCAAAACAATTTGGAGGCCAAGAGGCCAAAAGCTACAGTTCACAAAGTGGCAGCAGTTGCACCACCTTGTTACAGGGCAATCTTCTGCTCAGCCTTTTCCCTCCTAGCCTGTCCTCCCAAGCAAGAGCAAGAGCAAGAGCAAGAGCAAGAGCAAGAGCAAGAGCAAGAGCAAGAGCAAGAGCAAGAGCAAGAGCAAGAGCAAGAGCAAGAGCAAGAGCAAGAGCAAGAGCAAGAGCAGCAAGAGCAACAGCAACAGCAACAGCAACAGCAA